GCCAACATCAGGAAACTGAACAATATATTAAAATACTAATCAACATACTAATACGCAATGGTGTACAAAAACATAAATGTATACCATTTATTATCCTATTTATTATATTTATTGAAATATTAAATAAAGAATCAAAATATTTATTTATTCACAACTATAACAAATGTATTTTATTTTAAAATAATAATAATATTGACCCAAAAGTCCACAAAAAAACTTTCAAATAAATTTATTATTTAGTTTTCAAATTTTTAAGAAAATAACTTAATTATATCTTAACGAAAAGTCATTTCTAAACATTAAATAATGACAAATTTCAGAGATCTGTGAAAAACTAAATCTATTAATCTATTGACTAATTTTAATACTCGTAAAAGTTTTTATTCAAAAGTAATAAATACTTTCCAGAAGAAAAATGTTTCATTTGTTATAAAAATTGTTACAGGAGCCGATTTCTTTAATGGAAGAAAAACTTGAAGCTTACTTCAATATGTGAATATAATATAACTTATAATCTGTCCAAAACTTAGAACTCATAAAAGACTCATCGTACTCTATTTATCAGTGAATCGGCTGGATATTTTTAAAAGTTGTTTCTAAAAAAATTACTTCTTTTGAATAGGTATGACTTAGAATTACAAAAACTAGGAAAGATGTTAAAGGATTAATTAAACTTCATTCTATTCCTTTAAAAACAGGAACAGGAACAGAAATAGAAATGGCATTTGTTATTATGTGTACAAAGTTATGGTAATGTAATAATTGACCCAGAACTATTTTCCAAAAGAGGTAAATATAATTTAGAAATGACAATTACTGACAAGCTCTGAGTTATTGGTAGTGTTTTTCAGGCTAATTGGTGAACATTTTTTTTGTTGTTAAAGAATAAAAATTAAGAAAAAGAAATCACAATTTAATTTCACATTAGTTTTTATTTTTTTAATCCATATTTCGACTTTAGTCTAAAGCCAACATCAGGAAACTGAACAATATATTAAAATACTAATCAACATACTAATACGCAATGGTGTACAAAAACATAAATGTATACATATATACATCCATTTATTATTCTATTTATTATATTTATTGAAATATTAAATAAAGGATCAAAATATTTATTTATTCACAACTATAACAAATGTATTTTATTTTAAAATAATAATAATATTGACCCAAAAGTCCACAAAAAACTTTCAAATAAATTTATTATTTAGTTTTCAAATTTTTAAGAAAATAACTTAATTATATCTTAACGAAAAGTCATTTCTAAACATTAAATAATGACAAATTTCAGAGATCTGTAAAAAACTAAATCTATTAATCTATTGACTAATTTCAATACTCGTAAAAGTTTTTATTCAAAGTAATAAATACTTTCCAGAAGAAAAATGTTTCATTTGTTATAAAAATTGTTACAGGATTTACAGCCGATTTCTTTAATGGCAGAAAAACTTTAAGCTTAGTTGGCCTGACTTCAATATGTGAATATATTATTACTTTTAATCTGTCCAAAACTTAGAACTCATAAAAGTCTCATCGTACTTTATTTATCAGTGAATAGGCTGGATATTTTTAAAAGTTGTTTCTAAAAAAATTACTTCTTTTGAATAGGTATGACTTAGAATTACAAAAACTAGGAAAGATGTTAAAGGATTAATTAAACATCATTCTATTCCTTTAAAAACAGGAACAGGAACAGAAATAGAAATGGCATTTGTTATTATGTGTACAAAGTTATGGTAATGTAATAATTGACCCAGAACTATTTTCCAAAAGAGGTAAATATAATTTAGAAATGACAATTACTGACAAGCTCTGAGTTATTGGTAGTGTTTTTCAGGCTAATTGGTGAACATTTTTTTTGTTGTTAAAGAATAAAAATTAAGAAAAAGAAATCACAATTTAATTTCACATTAGTTTTTATTTGTTTAATCCATATTTCGACTTTAGTCTAAAGCCAACATCAGGAAACTGAACAATATATTAAAATACTAATCAACATACTAATACGCAATGGTGTACAAAAACATAAATGTATACCATTTATTATCCTATTTATTATATTTATTGAAATATTAAATAAAGAATCAAAATATTTATTTATTCACAACTATAACAAATGTATTTTATTTTAAAATAATAATAATATTGACCCAAAAGTCCACAAAAAAACTTTCAAATAAATTTATTATTTAGTTTTCAAATTTTTAAGAAAATAGCTTAATTATATCTTAACGAAAAGTCATTTCTAAACATTAAATAATGACAAATTTCAGAGATCTGTGAAAAACTAAATCTATTAATCCATTGACTAATTTCAATACTCGTAAAAGTTTTTATTCAAAAGTAATAAATACTTTCCAGAAGAAAAATGTTTCATTTGTTATAAAAATTGTTACAAGATTTACAGCCGATTTCTTTAATGGCAGAAAAACTTTAAGCTTAGTTGGCCTGACTTCAATATGTGAATATATTATAACTTATAATCTGTCCAAAACTTAGAACTCATAAAAGACTCATCGTACTCTATTTATCAGTGAATCGGCTGGATATTTTTAAAAGTTGTTTCTAAAAAAATTACTCCTTTTGAATAGGTATGACTTAGAATTACAAAAACTAGGAAAGATGTTAAGGGATTAATTAAACTTCATTCTATTCCTTTAAAAACAGGAACAGGAACAGAAATAGAAATGGCATTTGTTATTATGTGTACAAAGTTATGGTAATGTAATAGTTGACCCAGTACTGTTTTCCAAAAGAGGTAAATATAGTTTAGAAAAGACAATTACTGACAAGGTCTGAATTATTGGTAGTGTTTTTCAGACTAATTGGTGAACATTTTTTTGTTGTTAAAGAATAAAAATTAAGAAAAAGAAATCACAATTTCATTTCACATTAGTTTTTATTTTTTTAATCCATATTTCGACTTTAGTCTAAAGCCAACATCAGGAAACTGAACAATATATTAAAATACTAATCAACATACTAATACGCAATGGTGTACAAAAACATAAATGTATACATATATACATCCATTTATTATTCTATTTATTATATTTATTGAAATATTAAATAAAGGATCAAAATATTTATTTATTCACAACTATAACAAATGTATTTTATTTTAAAATAATAATAATATTGACTCAAAAGTCCACAAAAAAACTTTCAAATAAATTTATTATTTAGTTTTCAAATTTTTAAGAAAATAAATTAATTATATCTTAACGAAAAGTCATTTCTAAAGATTAAATAATGACAAATTTCAGAGATCTGTAAAAAACTAAATCTATTAATCTATTGACTAATTTCAATATTCGTAAAAGTTTTTATTCAAAAGTAATAAATACTTTCCAGAAGAAAAATGTTTCATTTGTTATAAAAATTGTTACAG